AATGAGATACAAAGCGAGTAAAAGAAAAAGCTCTCCACTCACTGTGTTCCTTGATGCAAAATTAAATAGGGGTTGGATTTGAGAAGATCTTCCATGGTCCAAGTCTCTCTACTGGAGCATGATAAACGTTTAGGAGGCAGGGTGGCAGATCTGAGGAGAAATGAGCACCTACTATTCCCTCCAAGATGTGCCAGCTGCAGGCACTCAGGAGCAGATCTTAAAATAGTTTCACTGCATATCATCGAAAGGGAAAAAAAGAATAAAAAAAAATAAAAGGCAGATGTGAAAAGCAGTAGTGTGGTTAATGCTTTACTTGTTAAAAGTAAATGCTGGATCTTTAAGCCTTCACTCACTGTTTGGTTTGCATAATTTAGAGGGATTAGCTTTTTCCATCCTCCTAAGAGAGGAACTGGTGAGTGTCTATTTTGCATCTGGGGAAATGTGCACTAGTCTCGAGGCCTGACATTTGTTTTGTGTCTGTGGAATTCGCGCCGTATGGGGCTGTCAAATTAAATATGATAACTGGCTTTTCCAAAGCAGCAGATAATTTATTGGTCATTAAAAATCCTAGTGGCTGTGCAGTCAGCTTGTGCTGAAGTCTCTTATTGGTGCCAAGGCATAAGAACTAAGTAAACACTAAAGATGGACACAGGCAAAGGTTTCGGATGGTTCAGGCCCAAGGCTAGTCCAGGACTGCTTCAATTGCTACTTGTTTTCTGTGTACTCACTGTGTTTTTCATACATAATATTGATGAGTTTGAGTGGTGTTTTCTCTACCCAAAATGGGTTTTGAAAGCCTTAGGCTTTAGTCCTATAGACCAAGGGCCACATTGCTTTGTCATAAGCAATATTTTTTTGGTACTTGTGTCTGCCATGGTGTATTTTCTCAGTGGCATTGCCACTTCTGCTGATCAAAAAACATGCTTATGGATATTATCTTGGAATGGGTAATGAGATCATTGAGTGAAGACCATAACTCCACTGTCTGCCTGAATGATGGGGCAGGTTCATTTTCTGCCCTTACATTTTATGAAAATTAGGGAGAAAGGAAGCAAAGCTGAGTGTATGTGGGGTCTGATCCCAGACAGTCTGTGTGCTGTCAGTCTAAATTCAGCCTGATCCATCAGAAGTCAGGAGAAACCCCTTTCCACCCACCAGAGCCATGTGCCCTGGATTTCTCCCTCTTTCCCCTTGCATCTTTGATGAGTCATAGCGTTTCACAGCTTAATTCATTTTTTAAAATAGCACTTTGATATATTTAAAAATATATTCTTGTTTTACCAGGAAAAAGAGCAGTCCCAGCACAGGAGGATAGCTGGCTTGTGGGAATTACTGGCTGAGATGGAGCTAAGGGTAACTCACTCTTTTTTGTAGGCTCCTTTTCTACACCTATCAAAGCAGTGAAGTGTTTCTGCTCACAGTCATCAGTGAGTTCATCTGTGGCTTTTGGACTCCTAGGGGCAACACTGAGCCTTGCAATAAGGCAGAGCAGGAGACCTCCTCTCCCCTGGGGAGCACAGGCACTGCAGTTGAGTCACCACCAAAGAGCTGGGCCCAGCCATGCTGAGAACATGGAAACTGTGGCTGCAGGTTCTGTAATGTGGGCCTGCACCTCATGATGCAAGGGATATAGCTGACTGTAGTGGGTTGGCTCTGGTTGGACGCCACGTACTCACTGCAGCCGCTCTCTCACTCCCCTCTGCAACTGGACAGAGGAGAGAAAAAAACCCAGTGGAAGATTCATGAGTTAAGAGCTGGGAGAAGTCACCCAGTGATCACCATCACAGGCAAAACAGACTCAGAGTGGGGATATTAATTGAACTTATTACTAACAGGATCAGAGCAAAAGAGTGAGAAGTAAAATAATCTTAAAAACACCTTAAAACACCTTCCCCCCCCTCTTCCTTCCTCCTATGTTCTCCCTCCTCCCCCCCAGCGGTGCAGGGGGACGGGGAATGGGGGTTGTGGTCAGTTGTTGTTTCCGTCACTGCTCAGGGAGAGGAGTCCTTCCCCGGCTCCCATTGGGTCCCTCCCATGGGAAACAGTCCTTGATGGACCTCTCCAGCATGAGTCCATCCCACAGGCAACAGTTCTTCATGAAACTGCTGTCCCATGGGTCACTCCTCCATGGGATGCAGTCCTTCAGGAATGAGCTGTGCTGACATGAGTCCCCACAGGGGCCACAAGTCCCACTCAGGAAAAGCCTACTCCAGTGTGGGCTCCCTTCTCCATGGGCTGCAGGTCCCTAGCAGGACCCTGCTCCATCTTGGGCCTTCCACGGGGTCACAGCCTCCTTTGGGCATCCACCTGCTCCAGCACGGGCTCCTCCAAGGGCTGCAGGGGGGTCTCTGCACCCCGATGGTCCCCCATGGGCTGCAGGGGCACAGCTGCCCCACCCTGGTCTGCACCAGGGGCTGCAGGGCCTCAGCTCCGGTGCCTGGAGCACCTCCTGCCCCTCCTTCTGCACCGACCCTGGTGTCTACTTTGTCATTCCCATGTTCTCACTCCGCTCTTCCCTGGCTGGAATTCTGACTGCACAATAACTTTCAAATATGTTATCCCAGAGGTGTTACTGTCACTCTTGGTTGGCTCGGCCTTGTCCAGTGGCTGGAAGCCCATCCTGGAGCTGGCTGGCATTGGCTCTACCAGACAGGGGAAGCTTCTGGCAGCTTCTAATAGAAGTCACCCCTGTAGCCCACCCCCCCCTACCAAAACTCAGCCACAGAAACCCACTACACTGGTTTAGCTTCCCTATTATCAACTTGAAATGTTGATGAATCTATACACTTTTAAGTCAAAGCAGAATGTTGTTTCATGATTGATTAACACAGGTCCATCCAAGCAGTCACAATTTACAGAGGTATTTTAGAAAGACTCACAATTTCAATCAGCAATAGATAAAACTTTACTGACTTAATAAGATATATCTAAGTGCTGCCAAAATCCAGAGTGTTCTTTCTCTGTGGTTTGGAGGAGCTACTTGTTTAAAGTCAAACTTCTATTGGCTTATTATTTTCATTCTGGGTGCTTATGGTGTCTTTACTGAAGGTGTTACCGTTGTGAAAGCCAATGCCCTTCGATTCCTGAAATGGCAGAGGAGAGAGAACTGGTAAGAGAGAGAATTGGTGGGACAATGCAAGCCTGACAGCTGACATGTGAAGAACATATATGAGCAATAAAGGAATGCTGAAGTTGTAGTTTGTTTGGGTTTTTTTCTTTTGAAGCTGGAAATCCCATTATAGATGACAATTCTGTAGGTTTCAACAACTTCCAAAACAAGATTTGGGCATGAGGATTGTGAAGACTCACGAGAATAAAAAATGACAGATTTCAGATGGCCATTTAGGACTCTCTGAATCCTACAGAATTGAGTGGCATTTCATCTTCTGAACACCTCTGTGTGAGTCCAAGTGTCTACAAACTGTAGAGCAGATCATGTCACCGATGACATGGACAAGAAAACACATTCCTCTGGTACGATTCCTGCAGTAAGGAAGGGGTTGTTGAACTAATGGCTGTTGTCTTTGCCATTGCTGTAGAAGAGCAGCCCAGACCTGCAGTGAGGATTGCTCAAGAATAGAGCACACCTGGTCAGAGCTGGATCCTTGCTTCAAACAGCAAACCATCAGTGACCTGGTTTAGTTTTTCACCCTTCCTTCCAGCACTCTCGTAGGAGCTGAGATGATACTTCATAACTAGTAGAAAAACTACCAAATAAATAGCATGTTAACACAAATATTTGTAGCTATTACTAGAGGTTCACAGGGAAATATTCAGATTGTTTTCTTAATTTTCACAGAATATCTTCTGAATGTTTTTGTGTTGGCTTTCAGTAATGTACAAAAATTTGTTCAGTAACATTAAAAAAATTGCAACTTTGCCATTAAATTATGAGTGACCTTTACTGTTAGTTTGATTTATAGTCAATATGAAGTATTGCTCTTTCAAATTAATATTGCATTTTCTCATATTTTTTCCTGTAGCTTATAAAACACTCAGTTTATTGTGATGAGTTTTGTTGAGCGTAAGCCAAGGATTTATAACTTCTTTTCCTTTCAACTTTTCCCTCAGTATGTAGAAGAAAAATCAAATATGTGTTTCTAAGATGCAAGCTTTATTCTTAATAATTTTTCATGTCTAATGGAGTAAATAAGACCACAATCCTGCAAATATTTGTTTGTGTTTAGCCTCCCATGGACAGGCTTAATGGAGTGGCCAGGGCAGCTACAGCTTCCCCATTAGTACCACTTGAAGGTGCACTGCAGAGCTGCTGGCAGAATCCAGGCTTCAACATTCTGAAGGGCACAGGAGATGCACAGGGGATGCTCTTCACAGCATCTTGTGGATCTCATGCATGAAAATGCCTCTATGCTATGCCCTAATGCAGACCTTCTGTCTCAGTAGGTGTTTGGCACGTTTGTGCAGAGATGTGTGGGCTTGTTGCGGTAGCAAGACTTTTGTCAGGTATATTTGACAGTGATACATGTGCAAAGCTGAGACACACAGCTCAGTAGGAACTATTGCCAAGTGGAGTAGCAAGGTATTAGCTTATGCTTTGTAACACGTGGCCAATAGATACTCTTCCTGTTGCACAGGGTAAAATGCATAAATTTTGCTAATTTTTGATTCTTCTCATCATTGACTAGGTTGTATCCTGATAATCTGTCCTTAAAAATGGGCAAACTGTGACTCCACACTCACGGGAATACAGCTGTGACTGCTCTGACTCCATCACAGCCTGGTATGTTATTATTAGGTTTGCTCTTTCTTTAGGGTTTGCTTTTCTGGTATTATTTCTCCCTCCACAGTTACTCAGATCACAGAGAGGTCCTTTAAGAGGTTTTTGATAGTGTAAAATTAATTGATGTATTATCAAAAAGAAAGCAGGTTGGCTGTAACTCTGTTGTACATATTTTTAATGATTAAATATCTACTTGCTTTAAACCTGAAGAAGTTCAGTTTCTTCACTAAAGTACTGGACTAAAAATAAATCACCTAAAGAATAGTCTGCAAATTAGTTAGTACCCTCCCACCAGAGAGATTTGTGTTATGGTTTTAATAACATCCACTTAGAGAATTAAAAACCTCTGGTAACAGTTGCGACAAATTTTGCAACAAATGTGCAATACCAGACTTTATTAATGAATGAGTTACAGCGCTGTGTCATCTTAATTTCTTGCAGATGTGTTCACGTTCTTTGAAAGGACCAGGAGAAATTGTCATAAATTCATTTACTGTTCACAGTAATGAATGCTAGCCCTTATCCTTCCTCAGTGGTATTATGATTGCAATCTGGGTTGCCGTAGGGATCCCACTGTAATTCATCATCGCTTCAGTGTTCAAATTCTCTGGTGGAACCAGATATTGGTGTCGACAACATCTGGAGTTTTACGTCTCTCATCTTTTTTCTGCCTCCTTCCTTCTGTTTTATCAGGAGAATGGGAAGGGGAAATTGCTGCCATCGTTAATATCTTCAAGACTCCGAATGACTGCTGGGACTTTGGAGGATATTTAGACGTAGGATGGAGGAGACACAGGCCTGTTCAAAGAGGTGAGACTGAGGAACATCTGCTTTTGGCATACTGTGGTGCCAGTTGTCATAGCATGCCTGGAAAGGTGGGAGGCCACTCTTCCATCTTCCATTTTGAAGCCAAGATGTGGATTTGACATTTCTTTCTTCTCCAGAACACCCACAACGTCCTCCGGGATTTCTGTGGGACACGGCCTAGAAAGGAATTCGAAGCACTCTTCCTCCTACTGCTTCTCACTCTCACTCTCCTGAATCCTTTTTTCTGTTTCCAACTCAAAGCCAATGGGCTGTGTGACATCCTTCACAGGTCCTATAACTCCCTTTCATAGGAGAGTGTCTTGGCAACCATACACCCCATTTCTTTTACTGGTGCCATTTCATGTTGTATAAAATAGTTCCATATAGTTCTCTCTCTTGTATCAAGGAGAGCCATATGTTAATTTGGATTTTAAGTAGGAATCTTTATCCATGCCTGATCAAATCCTGACTTGCTTCCCACCCGAGTAATTCAGATGCAAATCCATTCTCAGGGGCAGGGTTTAAACAAGCTCAGGGATACACGGCAAGGTAAATCTTGAGTGTGGGCTGTTCCTTTGCATAGAGTGTGTCTGCCTGTCTGACAGTGTATGACAAGAGGCTGCTTTGTGGGAATGTGACCTTGGCACAATAGACATGTCCTTCCTAAAAGGGCCTGATAACACATGCAGCAAGGTGCTGTGTGAATCCTGGGCGTGGCCAGGGATGGGGATGCAGGATGGGGATGCACAATGCTGCCAGAGAACATCCATAGACATCACTCTGCAGTCCTGTGGCTAAGGCAAAGACAAATGCAGCAGTTTCTGCCATAAAGAATGTTTACATCTATGAAAACTTTGGTGTGACAAAATGATAGCATCCTGACTCCAAATAGTGTGGTATTTATGGATGGTGTAGTCTTGTGAGTTTGGAGAGGGATGGAATCAGAACTCTTTGACAAAAGACAAAATTTAGCTTGGCATCATATACAAAGCACTGGCTAAAGGTAGGGTAAAGACAAAAGGGGGAAAAGGGAAGAAATTGTCACCATGCAAATAATTTTCTCGACTCTTCTGTCTAAGCTATCCAGAACTGAAATGCTTCTTTTTATGTTAGCCAGACCACAGCATTAACAGAAAATGAGATTTGTTTGTTTGTTTGTTTGTTTTAAGAGAAACAGACTTTTATCCTTTTCTTGTTTTCT